TCCCCCCCCCCGGTCAGTCCACCCCCTCAAACGCCTTTATTGATTGGGAAGGCGGAGCTTCAAGCTCTCCAATCAGCTTCTAACTCCAGCTCCGTCCACCTGTGAGCAGCCTGTGCCTCACCTTTCCATCAGAGATCTCCTCTGTGATTGGCTAGCTGTTAGCCAATGGCTAGGAAGATGTGCTTATTTGGTGACTCCATTTCCCTTGGGGTCATGGGCCAAGTTGGGATGGAGCAGCTGCAGCCCCACAGAGTCCACAGCCCCATGAGGGGGATTAGAACCTATGACCTGCTGAGCCCAAAGCCACCTGTGCAAATTCTACACCCAGCCAGTAGGGGGCGGTGGTGCAGGCACCACCATATTGCAGCAGGGGATGGGGGAGATGCTGCTGCCCATTGCCTGGGGACAAGGTGTCTCTGAGCCCTTCCCTCGCCAGGAGATGGCATAAGGGGGGGGGGCTTAGTCACACCACATGGCCAGCCACCCATGGGGACCCACCTGGGGCTCTTCAGGCACCCAAACCTCCCCGCCTCCTTGAGCTGAGGGTGCAGCTCTCCCAGCTGGGAGCTAGTAGAAGGTTGTTGTCCTCATTAGCGGGTGCTTCCTGTGCCAGGCCCTGTGGGTTTAGCTCCCCCGTTTCCCATCACACCCCTCATTGGCCCAATCCCACCACGTGTGACCAGGGCTGCCCAGCGGGTGCCTGCAGAATAGCACCGCCCTGTTGCCTGTTGGGTCTTGGGACAGGCCTTCCATGGCAGCCACAGCTGGGGAGGAACCTGTCCAGAATTTCTGGTACCCTCAGCACCACCTGGTGGTGACTAGAGAAACACAAATACCAAATAACAAATATCAGATCTACGGCAACCCAACTGAGATCGGGGCCCCCGTTGTGCCGGGCGCTGCGCAGACCTACAAGACACACACACACACACCCCGCACACACACACACCTCAAAGACCTGACTCTCTAGATAGCCAAGAGTTGGGGAAGGGAAACTGAGGCACAGAGCGGGGTGGTGACTTGCCCAAGGT